TATATTAAAATAGTCAATATTTGATTATGTCAAGATCTCTAAGCTTCTTTTTAAGTTTTCCTATTTCTGAACTGATGCCCTCAAGTTCTTTTTCCAATTCTATTTTTCTCTGCTTTTATTAAAGTGTCTTTGCTCTTGCTGAAGGGATCTTGTCAAACTCGGATAAGAGAGTTGTTTTATCTTGTTATAACTTAAGAAGTTAGTGTTCAGTTTCCTTAATTTGATCTTAGTTATCTTAAAACTTTTAATAAGAGGGAAGCATTAATGATTGCTTCTTTAATTGAAAATTGCTTTGGTTATTTGACTACAGACTGGTGGAAACATCTAGATCATTGTTTCTTTTATGCTTTTCAGCTGAAGAACAAAGTTTTCCATATTCGGTTCTGTGTTGTTGTAGCTTTTAAGTTTCTCTAACAGGAGACTTTCTAATGCTTACATATTGATTGTCACTGTCTCTATTCTATGTTGCTGTAATAGGAGCTTCATCTTACTTGAAAAGGTCAGATATTGAGTCTTTGAGGTTATTGTTTTTATAATGCTTTCTACCACCTACTTTCTCTTATCCCTCTTCTTACTCCCCTTAAACAAATTTAGGATAAGATACTGATTAATTCCTCTTTTTTGTCTAATTTTGATTGATCTACCCCATGAGTTCTTGATTTTATTGAGTAATCTTTTGATATTCATGCATTTATTAACGATATTGATCAACTAAGAACTTTAATTGAGAGAATTTTTATCTGTTTTCTTCTTCTATTTTTTAGATTTGAGTCTATTTAGACTTCTTTTCATTTTCGAGATCAACCTGAAGCTAGTTTATTGTACTTTTTTTATTTGATAATTGATGCTTCAAATCTTCAATTTATCTTTGAAAATTTGTAGATTCATTTTATCTACTTTTTACAAGAAGATTTAGTTGATCAATTCTCTCAGTAAGTTTTGAAGTTTCAGCTTAATTGCTTAAAATTTCCTTTTTAGATTAGCCTAGTTCTCTTTCTTTTCCTTCAAGTAGCTAGTTCTTATACTATATCTACTACTTTAGCTCTTTAATTTCTTAAGCAAATGCTATAGTGTCCTAGTTGTATCTTTTTTGTTTCTCGCTGCTTTTCTCCCTCACATCAATTGTTTACTCTTCTTGGATAGCTAATCTGGCTTATAGTTTCTGAATGGTCTTTTCATAATCTTTTTCTCTCCTTTAATACTCAGCTATTCTAAATTTCAAATTTTCTTCATTAACACAATAGGGAGAGTGATTATTCTTGCTTTGATTATGATCGTTTGCATGCTTTCCATTCGATTTCTATTTGTTCTAATTTGTATAATTATTCCCATATTACTTAGATGGAGTTTTAAAGTCGTATTCTGCATCAGCTTCATTGTCATCATCCTATTTATGTTTATTTAGCACAACAAATTAGCTGCTGGTTAAGAGGTTCTCATTCTATTTATGATGAATATTTAGAGGTGGGACAATGTTCACTCTCTCAAAAACTTATTAGCTATTGTCAAGATTATTGTTTAGAGGACTAAGTGGATTATGTAAGACTTCATATGATGGGTACTATCTTTATTACCCAGCATCAACTGATTAATCTAGAGATAAATTGTGATTTTAAGGCTTTTGTTATTTATCACTCAAATTATTCTAAAGCTAATTCTGTAACTGCCTCTATTGCTCGATAAGATTCTTCATTTCTCTAAGCTTTTCTTCTAAGTCTTCTTTACTTAAAACACTTTGAGTAGCAAGCCCAGATCTATCGTTATATTTTCTATCCATATTTATATTTTCAAATTAACGTTATAGATAATCTAAGGAATAATAAGAGTTAGGGGTTTTGGGGTTTTGGGGTTTTGGGGAGATCGGA